GGTTTAACGTTTTAGTTTTATTCTTATTATTACTTGTTTAGTTTCTTGAAAAAATCGGGAGTCCAATAACTACTTCAAAGAAGCAGATTAGTCCTATTTTTGAAGAAATAATATTGATTAAATCTCACATAAATGAAAATAATGGAAATAATGAAATTAAAATAACACAAATAGTACCTACTGAACTGATCAACAACGCTCGTCCCAAGGCCAATGATCAATACGGAAATGTTCTAAAAAGGTTGTGGCAGACTTCGGGAAAACATGTCGCTTGTAAACGATTTGATACTCAACAAACTCAAAAATTCCAAGATCAACTTGTTCTCCTGAAAAAATTAAATAATTGTTCAAGTATCATCAAATTTCATGGACTTTCAACTTTAGAATGGGGTTCTGGTCAATGTACAGTTATAGTTTATGAATGGATCGAACGAGGAAATTTGAAAATATTGTATGAAAAATTCTCTATTGATTGGTCTTCCAAATTGGATATTTCTGTTGGGATTTGTCGTGGACTTCTTTTTTTACATGGATGTGATATCATGCACCATGATGTTCGATGTGAAAATATTCTTGTAAGTTTCTAGGTTTCTAATTCATGATTAATCATATACTAAATTGTTAATTTTTTTTTTTTCTTTTTAGATTACCGAAAATTTGGAGCCCAAGATCACAAATTTTAGATTGTGTCGACCAATACATGACGATAAAGAATTCAGGAACGTATCTGATCCTCCTGAACATTGGATGGCTCCTGAACAATTTCGAAATGACAAAAAAGTAGGATATTATACATATAAGTGTGATGTGTTTAGGTAATTTTGTCATCTTAAACCATTCATTTTATCACACTATATTTATTGTCACTATATTTATTAATATTTATATTTATTGATATTTAAATTTGATTTAATGCAGTTTTGGTATGTTATTATGGGAACTTGCATTTGAAAGGCTTCCATATAGAGAATGGAATGAAGAAAAAATATCAAAGCATGTTTTGGCTGGAAACAGAGAAGGAATTGATCCATATTTAACTAACTCCCAGCAAGAATTTACTACAATTATTCGTGCTGGTAAGGTATCATATTATTTATACCTTTTAACATTATCATTTCATATATTAATTTTATGGATTTGCTTTTGATTGTTGTTAAGCATGGCAAGATGATCCAGCGCTTCGTCCAGGACTGTACCAAATGTTTTTGAAGCTAGAGGAATTACGGGCTGAAAATCCAAAGGATAAAACTATTACCACATTGAATCCCAAAAAATATGACGATAATGATGAAGTCATTAGTGTTTTTACTGAAGATGAAACTCAAATTGCTGATGTGAATGAACCTGAATAGAGTTTAGAACTGGGTTATAGTAAGCCATGTCACCTGTGTCGAAACGGTTCAACCGGGTCAAAAATTTACAACTCGTGCCAAAACGGTTGAATATGTAACTTCTAACAATCTGTTACTATTACACAGAAAACATTACAAAATTTAACACATTATAATTGTATTGTGAATAAACACCCTTTTTCTCTTACTAATTTATCTGAATGTTAATCTGGATTTAAAAAAAATGTTACAAACTTTGGAGACTACTATACGGACTACTTTGTATAAACCT